GTAGGGGGTAAGATGTATGATAGACAAGGTAGGATAGTAGAGAAGTCTGCAGATGGACTTAGGGCTCAGTTATATAGGCAAAACCAAGAGGAGTTGAGGAGGTAGGGTCCGGTTGTCTATGTAAGTGGGCGGATGTCTTGTGAGGCATCAGCTTAGGTTCTGTGTGACACCTTCTTAAGACATAGAAAACCTTTTTGCTGATTGCTACTAATCTAGATCTGAACTCTAGTATTCCTACTGAGCTGGGATCTTGAGGATCAGGGTAATCTAGATGAGGCAGGTACATATTCAGGTGGCCTACGCCCTGGTTTTTGAGAGACAGATCTGACATGAATTCTAGGGGTTGTTGTCAATATGGGTTTGGTGTAGCTTGAGTGAGTGAGCTATGATTTGGAGACACTTTCTGTGTGAGACATTTTATTCCCTGAGTGTATATTATGATGAGGTTTTATTTCAGGGACCATTCTTATATGTGATGATCACTTGTCTCTTTCACATGTGTGGTTGTACTCTGATGAACGATGAGTTTGTGTGGACAATGTGTGAAAAACATCTTATGTGGCATGGGTACAGTGAATATGATTATAAGCAAAACTGTCTACTCCTCGGTATACTTGTGCGACCTGCCCACGGGCAGCTGACAAGGCAGAGTATAAGGGGAGGAAGTGCAGTCCGTTGTGAAAGGTTGTGAGGATTTTGAAGATTTATGAGTCCAGGAGGCTCAAAATGCTTACCATGTGGATTGTTGGTTGCTTAAGTTGTGATGAGGACCCATAAGATGGTCTCTCAGTGATTTTTGTTTATGATAAGCCCCCTTGGATTTTGAAAAAAATGATGTTTTGTGATGTTGTGTGTTATGATGAGACCCCCTCAAAATTTTRAGAAGGGGAAGTTTGGTTTTATGGCGAGAYCCCTYGTGATTTTGGAAGAGGGGGTGTTTTGTTTCATGATGAGAACCCCTTGGATTTTTGGAAAAGGGGATGTTTTTGTTGTTGAAAGACTCACCTTCAAAGGTGAGTAAATTAAATTATGGCATGGTAAGTTGTCTGACGAGTGATAAAGTCTGACGAAGAGGGCCACTTTTGTTTGGAATGATTGAGAAAGTCGCAATGAGTGTAGGGCAAGAGATGTCTCAGAGTAAGTGGTTGCTGGCTCTGATCAAGTCAAGGGTCACTGCCTGGTGGACCTAGCGGTGATTTTGTTTGTGAGCGTGCGAAGGATGCCATGCCTATTGTGGAAGGGCTGGTAAATGCCTCCAAACCCCTGCGTGATCGCGCGGTGGGCCAGTGTTTTTATTTTGCGACGCCCCGTCTAACCACTAGTGCTAATTCTGAGACATATTGAAGAAAGGCCAAGCTAATGGAAAAGAAGTTAGTACCTCTAGGGCGTAACCCCATTGGATGACTGCTAGCCGGCGCAACCTGGCTGCGGGACCGCGGGGTAAGAGTTTAAGGGGGGGTGCCCGCCCTAGGGAAATTAGTCCGTGGGATAGTGAAGGTTGAGATTTTGGGAGGTCCTGATTGAGTGTTTATCAGGAGAAACCCTATCGTTGCGTAACCAACGAGGCTACTGCCGTTAAATAACAATGCGGTGGGCCGTAGTCCTGGTCCGATCAACCAGGCTATGGTGGGCCAAGATGGAGACCTGGCCTTTCTGTACTAGACTGCAGAAAGAGCCGAGTGGATATTAAGTATACATATATACTTATGTGTATTTGATTGCGGGAGATTTTGAGAAGGAAGGCGAGAGTGCCTTCAAAGGTCTCGGTTAAGGCTCGCGTCCCTAGTCTTGCCAGGACTAGGGACACCCAACGAGAAGCCGAAGGTTGTCTAGGACCGGGGAGAGAACGATTGGGAAGGTCTTTTGAACTTATAATTGTCAGCGTCCTAATTTCTGGGCAGTAAGAGGCCCGGGTTAGAAAACTGGCAGCATACAGTTGTGGAGGCATGGTTTGATGGAGGCCTCTACCTTGTGTTGGTCGGGTAATCGGATTGGCTCCTCTTTCGTCAGCATTTGGAGTGCGGATGAATTTATAGCTTTCTTGATTTGGCGAAGCGACGGGGACGTCGCTTAATATGGTCCGGTAAGCTGTCGGCGTGAATACCCTTACAAGGGTATCTGCCCTGTTTTTTTTTTTGCAAGTAACAGAAAACAGTTTTGGTTTAAAGTTGAAGTATACCGCGCTAAGCGCGGTTGCTTCTATAATTGGGTTGACTGGGTGGTTGACCACAATAGCGTAGAGAGTGTGTGGGCGCGCATACTTGAGGCGCACGTGATTTTTATTTATTGATGACATTTAAAGAGCTGGCGTGATCGCCGGTCAAATTTTTTTTTTTTTTTTTTTTTTTTTTTTAGATTAGGATTAATTAATATGGAAATTTTGATTAGTACGTCTGATCGAGACACGCGCATGAGGGTGGAGAGCGGCCTCGACAACAGTAGGAATTTCTTTATAATGAAC